GGAAGAAAAGAACTTTTGCTTATTCCTCCTCCCTCTGCAACCTCCTCCCACACTGTTCAGTAGCTACTGGGGTAGGGTGGGAAATTGGTTAAATTTCTGAACCATTGCATTACCTCCAGGAGGGGGGATTTGAGGGGCAAAAGGAGATTGATGGCTTTGGTACCACTTCTGCCCCTACCCACTGGGCTGCCAAGTTGTTGCAAGGTTCTGTTACATCATGAGAGCTTGGCAGCTCAAATCATAGCTGTCAACTTTTCCCTTTTCTTGGACAATCGGACCAGAAATTATTGAAAGAATGGGGATGTGTTAAAGAGTATATGAAAAAACATTGTTCTGGAGTAAGCATTTCGGTATGTAATGAATGATGTTTTACAGAGTTAAAGAAAAAGAAAAATGGCGTTAAAAAGTATAAAGAAAGAAGTAATCTACATTAGACACAACAATTTAGAAAGAGTAACATTTTTGAGGTCTTAGAACAAAGGAAGGAAGTCAATATGTGTATATGTATGTAATGACTAGATTAGAATGAAGATATGGTTTTATTTATAGATGTGTGCTTTTTCTTTTGTTTTCTTTTTTTGGGTTCTGTTTTTCTTTCTTGTTTGTATAGTATTATTTTGGATTCAATGTTTGTAATTTTTGTTGTAATTCTGCACTGAAAAGAAAATTTTAAAAAAGAAAAACTTTTCCCTTTTCTTGCGAGGAATCCTATTCGGAATAAGGGAATTTCCCTTTTCAAAAGGGAAACGTTGACAGCTATGGCTCAAATCCCGTAAGACCTGAGATTTCAGGATCTCGCAAGATTTGTGGAACCCTCTAGAAGGGGCCTGCACACATAATACCTCATAACTACTACCCATTTGTTTGCCTCCCATTTTTACGGCCACCATTCCAACCAGTTATCCAGAAATAGAATTAAGTTGTTGGCACTGCATGCCATCCCCATCGTTGCCTTTCTCCAACAGGAATCCCCTGCTGGATAATAATAATAAAAAAAGTTTCCATGGACAGAAAGAGCCTTTCAATTTGCAGAAGGTGAAGCCTAGATCCAACTCAATAATACCTTTTCTTGAACACAAATATTTAGAAATTTGAGAAAAGGCATTTGTATTAAAGCCATAGAAACATTTGAAAGCAGGAGGGGGATAAGGATAAAAATGCTTACATACTCTAGAATACAAATGGTTCCTTTCCCAAGGAGTTATAACAATAATAGTAATAATAATTTTATTATTTATACCCCGCCCATCTGGCTGGGCCTCCCCAGCCACTCTGGGCGGCTTCCAAAAAAATATAAAAATACTATAATACATAGTATTATCAAGGGCAAGATTCAGTTCTTTAAAATCCCTTTGATTTAAATGACGGCTATTCAAGCTCTCTCAACGAGATCCTTAAATGCTTAACTTTGGCTGGATCATATCTAAATTTGGCATTGGGGAAGACAACCTGTGTAGGAGGGGGAAGGGAGGAATGACTAAAAAGAAAACAGAGAAGGGGGAGGAATGGAAGAAGCACCAGTAACAAGGGATGGATACGAGCCATATTGATATGATTTAAACACCTACGTTTAGAATTTGAGGAAAACATGATGAGCTTTTACTTATCTAGCTTCGAAGGGAGCTGAGAATTTTAGACCGCCGCATTTCTTCCTTTCCTCCTGTTTTTGAAAAGGAAAAACAACTCCGTTTGACATTTTACCAACACTTCTGCAGTTACAGAAGATAAGGCAGATTTTCTTTAAAGCTGAAGATGAAATAACATTGCTTGTACCACTGCCAGCTGGCAGGCCGTACTAGAACTTAGAAATGAAAGGGGAATATTTCTACATTTGCATTTCAGCAGCAGTAGCTAAGAGGAGAAGTTCTGTAGTGCTCCTTTCTTGGGTTTGGTCTGTTTCCTAATATGAAATAATTCAAATATTAGATCTGAAAGGTTGCAGTGCTTCATGACTTCATAGGAATATTTTTCACACATCTCTTGCACAAGTGTTGTTGTTTTTTAATCGTTTTGTTATTATGTTTATACCCCATCCTAACCCACGGGCTCAGCACAGGTCATGGTAATTTTACCAAAGTTACCACTGCTCCTGGAGGGCTAACAATTTAAGGGAACGTTCCCACCTTAATAATAATAATAATAATAATAATAATAATAATAATAATTTATTATTTATACCCCGCCCATCTGGCTGAGTTTCCCCAGCAACTCTGGGCGGCTCCCAATCAAGTGTTAAAAACAGTACAGCTTTAATATTAAAAACTTCCCTGAACAGGGCTGCCTTCAGATGTCTTTTAAAGATAGGATAGCTACTTATTTCCTTCACATCTGAAGGGAGGGTGTTCTACAGGGCGGGCGCCACTACTGAGAAGGCCCTCTGCCTGGTTCCCTGTAACCTCGCTTCTCGCAGTGAGGGAACCACCAGAAGGCCCTTGGCGCTGGATCTCAGCGTCCGGGCAGAACGATGGGGGTGGAGACGCTCCTTCAGGTATACAGGTCCAAGGCCATTTAGGGCTTTAAAGATCAGCACCAACACTTTGAATTGTGCTCGGAAACGTATTGGGAGCCAATGCAGATCTCTCAGAACCACTTTGGCATTCAATGGGTCTACAGTCGAACACTGAAGTTGAGCGCTATCTGTACTGCCATGTCAGCGAGAACACAGCTGAATTGACAGGGCAGAAACGAAGCACTTTACTGTTGGAACCATTTTCTACTGTTTTAGAGTCTAAGTTCAAATGCTTTGTAAGTAACGGGTATGGATTGTTTTGTTATTATTTATTTATTACATAATCTACGTTTATATCCCAACCTTTCCACCTAGGAGCTCAAGGGGGTCTGTCTGCATGGTTTCCTCCTTCCCATTTTATAATCACAACGACCCTGTGAGGTAGGTTAGGCTGAGAGTGAGTGACTGGCCCAAGGTCAGTCAGTGAGCTTCATGGCTGAGTAGGGATTTGAACCCAGATCTCTCATGTCCTAAAATGACATGCTAACCACTACAGCAGGGGTCAGCAACCTTTTTCAGCCATGGGCTGGTCCACCGTCCCTCAGACCATGTGGTGGGCTGGGCTATATTTTGAAAAGAAAAAAAAATGAACGAATTCCTTGTTGTTGTTTAGTCGTTTAGTCGTGTCCAACTCTTCGTGACCCCATGGACCGGAGCACGCCAGGCACTTCTGTCTTCCACTGCCTCCCACAGTTTGGTCAAACTCATGCTGGTAGCTTCAAGAACAGTATCCAACCATCTCGTCCTCTGTCGTCCCCTTCTCCTTGTGCCCTCCATCTTTCCTAACATCAGGGTCTTTTCCAGGGAGTCTTCTCTTCTCATGAGATGGCCAAAGTATTGGAGCCTCAGCTTCAGGATCTGTCCTTCCAGTGAGCACTCAGGGCTGATTTCCTTAAGAATGGATAAGTTTGATCTTCTGGCAGTCCATGGGACTCTCCTCCAGCACCATAATTCAAAAGCATGAATTCTTCGGCGATCAGCCTTCTTTATGGTCCAGCTTTCACTTCCATACATCACTACTGGGAAAACCATAGCTTTTACTATACGGACCTTTGTTGGCAAGGTGATGTCTCTACTCTCTACTCTTTAAGATGCGAATGAATTCCTAGGCCCCACAAATAACCCAGAGATGCATTTTAAATAAAAGCACACATTCTACTCATGTAAAAACATGCTGATTCCTGGACCGTCCACGGTCCGGATTGAGAAGGCGATCGGGCTTCTGTAGCCTACCCCTGCACTACAGAATACTGGTCTGACATCAAGAAACAAAGGTGAATATGGACAAACAAAAAGTAATAAATTCCTAACAGCTCACTAATTTTTTATCATTCTGATATCCCAGATATTAATCACAGCAGCCCAACCACAATAACGTTGGGATAACGATAAGAACCAAAACAAGTAGGTTACTGCATTCACTCACACTTGTAGCTTAAATCTGATAACAGGATTTTGAGATTAAAGCATGGTATGAATAAATGCAAGATCTGGGTTGTCTATCAGGGATCTCTAGGATACCAACCAAACTCTGTCCAAACTCTGGTTTGCTCACACAGAGTGGGTTTAAAATGGATTTGAAGTAAGCGGACAACTCCTGACATGATCAGTTGGCCATTGACTTTCATCCCATGTCACATCATAGCATACCATATATACCATATTTTCAAACTGTTTTCCAGGTAGGGATGAGGAAAGAGATTTGATTCCATTTGCATTTTGAGCGGAATCTAGTGAATTGGTAGTTTTTGAAACAATGTGTGAAGCAAAACACAGCTATCCTTCAAAACTAGTACTTATCTGAATTTTACTAAGCAGGGAGCCAACCACTGTTTATAGGAGAAAGTGTGCAAAAAAATAGAGGATATATTGGTGGAAATAACACAAAAATGCATTGCAATAGGGAAGATTGCTTGCAAAAATGTGTTCATTGGTCAAGACTCCATATTAAAAATGTGTTTTTTTCGGAAAAATTAGCAGTAGATTGCTGTTGACTTTTCACGAGAAACCTTTTTTAAAAAAATCCAAATTGCTACAGGTGAAAAACTGAATTTAAGACTGAAAAAAATGATAAGGTGAGAGAGATGAAATCAACCAACCAAGAGCAGGAAGATTCAGTCCTGCCGGGGTCTGAAAGACTCCGAAAGAGCATGATGAAGCCAGCAGAACTGAATCCTTCAGTCGCCAACCGGTGAGCAAAGGATTCAGTCCTGCTGGGGTCCACTTCCCCAGTGTGTTCCTGCCGAAGCAGATGCCTGCAGCCTTCTCACCTGATGATCTCCCCTCCGACAGCCCTGTGTTGCTCCAGGCAGCCCAACATGGGGCTATCTCCACCCATTTCTCTGGCCCAAGCCCAGGTCCCCCTGAATGGGCCTGATTCCATTCAGAATTTGGCTGAATCCAGTGCACAGCCCTTGTATTAAGCAGGCGTGGCTAAAACACTCCAGAATTTCTTATTCCTTGTAGACAATGTTACTAAAACTTAGCGAAAATAATCATAGCTCAGTCGGTAGAGCATGAGACTATAAAAGGGACACGGGTGGCGCTGTGGGTTAAACCACAAAGCCTAGGACTTGCCGATCAGAAGGTCGGCGGTTCGAATCCCCGTGACGGGGTGAGCTCCCGTTGCTCGGTCCCTGCTCCTGCCAACCTAACAGTTCGAAAGCACACCAGTGCAAGTAGATAAATAGGTACCGCTCCGGCGGGATGGTAAAAGGCATTTCCATGCGCTGCTCTGGTTTGCCAGAGCAAACCATGCTGGCCACATGACCCGGAAGCTGTACGCCGGCTCCCTCGGCCAATAAAGCGAGATGAGCGCCACAACCCCAGAGTCGGTCACGACTGGACCTAATGGGCAGGGGTCCCTTTACCTTTTACATGGGTTCAAGCTCCATGTTGGCCAAAAGATTTCTGCATTGCAAGGGATTGGACCCTCATCCAAGTCTACGATTCTGTGATTCTTTGTAATGAGGCATTTCATACATTGCCCAAGGTGATAGGTACTACCAGTCGTACCTTGCTCAGAAAGTGAATTCTGACATGATCTAGCTCCAGCAACCAGCTGGACTCTGAGAAAGCCTCTCCTCCTCAATCGGCTGGAGGCTTGGGGGCAGGGTTTAGCCTCTCAAATGCGGCCGCAGCAGCGTTTCCCAGCCATTGTGCTGCTGCTTCTCGTCGGAGCTGGTTTCCCCGATAATAATAATAATAATAATTTATTATTTATACCCCACCCATTTGGCTGAGTTTCCCCAGCCACTCTGGGTGGCTTCCAATCAAGTGTTAAAAACAATACAGCATTAAATATTAAAAACTTCCCTAAAGAGGGCTGCCTTCAGATGTCTTTTAAAAAGAAGATAGCTGCTTATTTCCTTCACATCTGAAGGGAGGGCGTTCCACAGGGCGGGTGCGACTACCGAGAAGGCCCTCTGCCTGGTTCCCTATAACTTCACTTCTCGCAGTGAGGGAACCGCCAGAAGGCCCTCGGCACTGGACCTCAGTGTCCGGGCTGAACGATGGGGGTGGAGACGCTCCTTCAGGTATACAGGACCAAGGCTGTTTAGGGCTTTAAAGGTCAGCACCAACACTTTGAATTGTGCTCAGAAACGTACTGGGAGCCAATGCAGATCTCTCAGGACCGGTGTTATGTGGTCCCGGTGGCCCCTCCCAGTCGCCAGTCTAGCTGCCGCATTCTGGATTAATTGCAGTTTCCGGGTCACCTTCAAAGGTAGCCCCATGTAGAGCGCATTGCACTAGTCCAAGCGGGAGATAACTAGAGCATGCACCACTCTGGCGAGACAGTCCGCGGGCAGGTAGGGTCTCAGCCTGTGTACCAGATCTGGTAAACAGCCGCCCTGGACACAGAATTAACTTGCGCCTCCATGGACAGGGGCGCAGCTACCCCATTCAGGACCAGGGAGTCCCCCACACCTGCCCGCCCCCGTCCCCCAAAAACAGTACTTCTGTCTTGTCAGGATTCAACCTCAATCTGTTAGCCGCCATCCTTCCTCCAACTGCCTCCAGGCACTCACACAGGACCTTCACCGCCAAATCATCGAGCTGGGGGAGAATGATTTACCCTTCAGAAAGAGCGTAGACTTGCTATGGAGCATAAAAAAGGACTTTGACAAGCTGGCTGCTCTATCCCGGGACAATGTTGTTTTGGTCCAACCTTCTGAAGGGAAGGGTCTGGCGTGGCTCCCACAGCCCTATGGCCGTTGAAAAATCCAGGAAACTTTTAAACCGTGTGGTGGAGCGCAAATTGCGCTATATGTATGGCCAAGTGATTCAGCATGCTGACATCCGGTTCAGTGAATGGTCTTTATTTCGTGGTGATGGAGTTCACCTTTCGGACCTTGGCAATGATTTTTGGCTGGCCGACATCATCAGAAGCCTTAGGGATTGGTTGCAGCTGCGAGGGTACTGGCGACGAGCCTCTCTTGGCTCGGGTGGCGGTTAGGCATGGGAATATGGTTGTGTGTTGGAGGGCAGGGTGTGGCCATCGCCTACCCCTCCATTTTATGGGTATTCCAGTAAAGGAATCCGGCGGTCGTGGATCCTGTCCGACGCCCTTACTGGTGGCTAGGGCCATGGCACGTCCTCCGGTGACATCAGGGGGAGCTTTCAGTTGTATTTGCATCAACAGGCTCCTCCCACTGGTGGTTAACCCTTGATAGACTCACCCCTCCCTGAGTGGGTGGAGTCACGCTCTGTTGTTTTATCCAATACCTAAGCCAATACAGTGGTACCTCAGGTTAAGTACTTAATTCGTTTTGGAGGTCCGTTCTTAACCTGAAACTGTTCTTAACCTGAAGCACCACTTTAGCTAATGGGGCCTCCTGCTGCTGATGCCGCGCCGCCGGAGCCCGATTTCTGTTCTTATCCTGAAGCAAAGTTCTTAACCTGAAGCACTCTTTCTGGGTTAGCAGAGTGTGTAACCTGAAGCATATGTAACCTGAAGAGTATGTAACCCGAGGTACCACTGTACCTCTCACATGCTGTAATCAGTACAGTTGTGGCCTTTTTTAGCCCATTAACCTAATATACCGTGTCCATGTGTCTTCCTTATCCTCAAGCAGGTGGCGGGTCCTCAAATCCCAAAGCACAGCCCCTTTTCACTGCTCTTGTGTAACTGCAGCTTGCCTTTCATTCTGAGCCGCCTTGGAAGAAAAAGATAATGCTCTGCAAATACATCTTCAGGTACAATAATATGACATGTAGCTGAATTGTGTGTTCCCAGTGTTTCAAGAAGCTGCCGTTAGGTAAGGCATAACACACTAGGAAAATGACTTGTTGCTGACAAGATGTTTCAGCAGCAGCTGAATGCAACTACCCAGTAAGATGAGGAAGGGAGAAATGAACAGCATCATTAGAGTACCTACTATCTCATTGTGTGCCTTAGATCTGCAAAGCTAAGCAAAGGTCAGCCGTGCTTCATTCACTGGTTCATCAGAAGTACCAAGGTGTTTTCCCCCTCCATTTCATACAAGGCCACAAAGGGAGTGACAGCAGCTCTCTCTAAAAGACAGGGCACCTAAAGGCCACATCTAAACTACGTAATCAATTATTAATCATTTACTGCGGTTTCCAAAATCCAAAATAAAATCCAAAAGCTGTGTGGATTCTATGTATTGTCAGGGAACTGCCATCGGAAGGAAGGGAGGTGAAAGGACTCAGACAGGTTGGAAGAGATTCAGCAGCTGAAGAGGGAACCAGCAAGGGGAGAGAAGCTGAACTGAGGGAAAGGGAGCTGGGGGGATGGCTCAGAGATACTTCCAGCGAAAACAGTGGTGAGGTTTCCGGACCTCCTGTAGCGACACCCACTCCTCGCCGGAAACTGTCACGCAGAGAGTCCAGAAGACGTGTTTCCGTTAAGGAGCTTTTATGTTGGAAGCGATTACGAAAGCAACCACTGTCGGAATCTTCTAGTGACTAGAGGAGCCATGTCAGAGGGGCTCAGTCACAGACAGAGGTTTGTGGACTTGAACAAACTCTGAGGGAATACGATTTTACGCACAAGCAGCTCATAATCCCATCACAGCATTCCGACAGTCTTTGAACGCAGCTTGTGCAGGAGAAGGCATAATGAGCAACCCAGCAGGAACCGGAGAAGCAGGGGCTGGAGCGGGTCCAAGCCTGGAAGAAAGGTACCGGGTGTTAGAGGTCCAGCTGGCGCTGCAGACGGCGAGGCTGGAGGAGAGGAGGGCTCAAGATGCAGACAAAGGGAGAAAGCCACCCAGCTCGCCAGAAAGGTACCAGGATTGGTGCAGAAATTTGGGGGGGAGCCCAAAGACTATCATAGCTTTCGGACAGAAATGCAATATGCCCTCAATCTGCAGTTTGATGATATCACTGATGAGGAATCACGAGTGGCTTTTGTGATTGGGCATCTTGAAAAGGGGGCGAGAGACTGGGTGAGACCCCTGATGGCAGCGCATAGTGACGTCCTAAAGGACACAATGAAGTTCTTTCGTGCCATGGATCTGATGTTTTCCAGCGATATTGAAAAGGGAGTGGTGCGCAGACAGTTAATGGCTTGCAAACAGGGGAGCCGATCTGTACGTGAGTACTGGACTGAGTTCACCATGCTGATACACAGATTGGGGTGGGACTTATCGGCGGAACCCATTCAAATGCTCTTTGAAGAAGGGCTTTCTTCGGCGGTGAAAGATGAACTTTCCCGGGCGCCCAGGGCGGAGTCTATGGACCAGCTGACCAAATCAGCGCTGGCCATAGGAGCGCGCCAGGAGGCGAGAGCATTGGAGAGGCGGGAAGGGAAAGGGGAACGTTGGAAGGAGTTCCGCATTCCAGACATTCCAGAGCCAACTGTCCCGCCGGCAGAGCCGATGGAAATCGGAACAGCGCGCGCGCGCAGTTTCAAAGCCCAGTGAGGGGGAAAGAAGGATGGAAAAGGCGCCCGGAAATGCTATCTCTGCCAACAGCCAGGGCACTTTGCCAGAGTCTGCCCCCAGAGGAAGGAATGGCAAGGGATGGTGGGAGCTGTGGAGGGAAGAGAGGAAACAATACCGGAGCAACTAAAAGCCAACGCCTGGCTGCCATTGTCGGGGCACAGCAGCCAGGCCAAAGAGCAGTGAAAGTGCCCACTCCAGAACCTCCTAAACCCGCCCTAGTGATAGAAGTGACACTAGAGCTGCCAAACGGACACCCTCTAAAGATAAAGGCGCTGTTGGACTCAGGCAGCTCCTGCAATTTCATGAGCAAAGAGTTTGCAGCTGAACACCAGATACAGACGCTCCTTTAAGCAACCCCTGCAGGTAACCACGATCGATGGCAGGGAGCTGTTGGGAGGAGAAGTCAGCTTGCAGACCGTCCCAATGATAATGAAGGTGGCAAGGCACACCGAACTAATAGCATTTAATGTGGCCACCTTGGGAGGAGCTCCCATTATATTGGGGATGAGCTGGCTAGCGTTACATGATCCGCTGGTGGGCTGGCATCAAAGAGTGGTTTCTTTTGGGTCAGCACATTGCTTAGAACATTGCAAAGAGGGAAGGGTTTTGGCAGGGGCCCAAGCCACTCTAGCAGGGACTGAAGTGACGGAGAACGTGAAGGTACCACGACAATACGCAGATCTCCGCGACGTCTTCAGCGAAAGGGA